ACGGTTACATACAGAAATGTAAGTTTTAAATGAATGTTTTTTAGCAGAGCCAAATGCCAAGATCTTTTTAGGACCCGTGAATTTGAAATAACCAACTTGCGCAACCCAAAACCTTTTCAACTATTGATACTTGACACTCAGCTACTGCTCTGTAGCTGGCTAAACGTTATCCCTTTACAGATCCTTTTCTTCGCTTAGCTAAAAGCTACATCCATTCAAAGGTAAGTAAACCCAGTAGTCGAGATTAGCGAAGAATTAAAAACAACAGGCAAGAAAATCCGTATTAACTTTCGATCTCGGAGGTACACTTTGGTTTCATAAATCCAAAACACGGCACGGTTTCTGCCACCCAACTATACTGTTTTCAAAATATGACTGTGCGAATGTAACCTATGGTGAGGAAGATGAACTAATTTGAGAAGAGCTTTGAATAACAATTAGTTGTGAATTTTTGGATACACAATTGTCTAACTCGTTTTTAACCAAATTTAGCGCTGCAACAGAGTACAACAATCACCTTCATTTGGTAACTTTTTTCTCGTTTTACACGGTTTGTTTCAAGTCTTCAATGGACGAAAACTACTTCCTTTTATCTACAAAAATTCAAAATTTTTCTGCTTATTTGTCACTTAATTTCTCAGACTCTCAGTCTTCTGCTACTGTGTTTGCAAATCCTAATCACTTGTGTGCAGTGTTATTCAAGTTATTAACTTTTTGGCAAAAACCAATTTGAATTCCCCATCGATTAAACCTAAAGCTTTTCTTCAGGATAACCTCAGAGGATGGGCTTTTTTCAAAGCTTCCTCTCCAGTTATTACACAGAGTAAGAAATGAACAATCAACCAGTACCGACAATTATTAAGTTGAGTCCAGCATAAATTCCGGAATGTCCTTTCAAGTTTACTGCTACATCACGAAGCAGTATTTCATCAAGTTCGGAAAAATAATTTGAAGATAAAAAAAAAAGGAACTGAACAAAGCGAGAGAATTACAGCGCCAATTTCTTCCAACCTTACAAACAAGTTCTTACGAAAGAAAATTCTAACTTTTAAAAATTGTTTGCTGTTATTAGAACTTTCCAAACCGTTTCTTATCCATTTCAAATTGGGACATCAGAAATTAAAATATTCAGATCTTTTCAATTTTAATACGTGCAGCTTCCTGCCCTCAGCAAATTTTTCTCTAAAAGAGAAAAAACTCTCCTGCAGTAATCTTCGTCTCCAACTGTTGATGAGTGACAGAGAATGCGCCAGATCTACCCATTTCAAGCTTGCTCGTTAGTATTATAACAGAATCCATTATTTAGAAACATTAAAGGGTATAAGAAAGTTGTAAAGTAAGTCTACACATTCTAATGTTTATTGCTTGGCACCAGTGTATCCGTAGCCAAAACTCCCAATACGAGATACTCCTTAGAAAAGGTAAAAAAATGAGTTCTTTATAACATCGTTCTGTTGTTCATTCCTATTGAAATTCTACAGGAAAATTTTGTAAATATGGACTGCTATTTCAAAAAGAGCAGAGACCAATACCACCAATACAGCTACTAATCTTTCAGCAGGCTAATAAAAAAATAAAAGTATTACTCTCACTACAGCCAAAAAGCAAAGAAACTCGGAAAACTAAGATTCGCTTCCAAGGGACGGAACCCAAGAGAAAATGGAGAGGAAGTCATCATCGATGCCACTAAATCCAATATAACAAATAAACGCTTCTATCTTCCCCCCCCCCCAAAAAAAAAAAAAAAAAAAAAAAAA